AACACAATTATTCACCAAGTTCAGAATAATTTTGGTAATATTCACTGTCGTTTTGAGGACGACGTTGTTTTTGTGATCATCTAAAGATAAAAATGACTGAAACATATTGAACAACCTCACGTTCTCCAGTTTGTGTTTTCAGTGACGTCTCGTGAAACTTACACGTTTCAGTCGACCATTTGCGTTCAGGTGATCTTGTTGATGAATTACCGTTTCGTCTGTGGGTCACTAGAGCAAAACAGGCTGCAGCAGATGTGGACACACACACACACACACACTGCCCAATTTCTCTTTGAAACCGGTGTTTACAAGCGGCACGTTGTGTCCAGACCAGAGGAACACTTATCCAACCCCGGTGATGTCATGCGGACCGGTTTGCCTGGAGGTGTGTGTCTGTTGAGTCCAGCGCTTGTGAGCAGGCATATCAGTTAGTCGAGCAGACATGCCAGTCTTCATATAATCAGAAACAGAGAAAACTCGGCGCCCCGATATTTACTGTATAACATACCGACTTGTCACTGACACTTTGAAGTCTCGTATGTTGCATGGCGAAAGGCTGAGGCTGCAAGATGGAGGTCGCTACATAAAACAGACGTGACATGTCTGAAATGTCAGGAGAATAAAGAGATGGACCCCAACCCCCCGCCCCTCATCTCCTGGTTTTATTTAAAGGGATGAAAAGAAATAGTTTTATCACAGAATAAATGGCACAAAGTTTATGTCTCCCAAATGATTTTTAGCAGATGTATGCCAATGGAAGCTCTAAAACTAGACATAATTGCACAACCAAAGATTTCAGAAAAAAAAAAAAGGACTAAATGGTTTTAAGTTCTTTAACAACCACTTTTGGTACTCAAATAAAAAAAAATGGGAACAACAGATAAAACAAGTTCCTGTTTTCACTCCATCTTCCCATTTTCTTTTTCCACCCTTTCATTCGCTCCATCCACCAGGCCTCTGTTGTCCCTAATAAAAGCCGTATGACTAAGCAGCGGAGATACTTTCAATCCCTCGTTTTTGTAACGACTGATTCCAAGCCGGCCACATTTTGCCAAATAAACTCCTCATCTCTTGCTTTAATGTGACCTGGAGGAACCGAATCCTGTTCGGGTAAAGAGAATCTACTCCCAGCAGGCTTTTTGTCCTTTGCCACAGCAAAACGATCTTCTGCGTTTAAATGGAAAGAGACCGAGTTGTTAATTGTTGCCATGTCCGCACTGTTTCAGATACAATCAAAGAGCACATTCTTCCCTGTAGTCTGGGTTTGCTTTCACACTGAATCCCAGTTCTTCCACCAGCAGAGTGGCATCTCTTGAATGAATTTACAGGTGCCAGAAAAGTGAGTTTCTCCTCTGTACTCAAGGTAAATGTTTGCCCCACAAATGGTCATCAGATAAAAACCAGGCCAGAATAAACTACAATTAATACAATATGATTAATTGATTAATTTAAAAAGATTATCAAACTAACTCCACCACAGCATCTCTTTTGAATCAGGTGAGTTGGTCCGAATGCTGGATGAAGTGGGATGGTTGAAGTCGTGGAAAAAGGAACTTTGTCTGCACTTCCAAACATTTAGGAACTATAGTGAAGTCCAAGAGTTTTTCTTTCCCTGTTTAGAATCAAATTGCTGCTGCTCCTCCTGGTCCGAGTCGTGCGACTCTGTCATAACGTATCCCTGGATGTGTCGTGAAAACAAATTCAGACCAAAGCCCAACATTTGGTGGCGAAGTGGAAGAACAGCAGCATTTCCTGTAGGCTTTATCCACATGTTTAACGGGAACTCTTATGTTTCCAAATATCAACAAGACCTACGAAAACAGAGAAGAAACATGCTAGCATTAGCCTAGCATTTTACCGAGTTCTAACAGGAACTGCTTTCAAAGAGTTTTGAGGGATAAAACCACGATACTGATAGAGACAATGTAAAACTGGTGAACTGTAGAGTGCTACTGCACTTTAAAGTAGAGTTTTCAAGCACGAGCCTGGCCTTGATTGAGCATACTGTGATCAGCTGACACAGGAAATACCTTTTGTGTCAATAAAAATCCTAACCATAACATTGTGAATGCTTTGCAATATATGAAATAGATCCAGCTTAGCTTGGTAAGGTGTAATCAGAAAAAAAATTACACCTTGCTAATAAAGCAAATCTCTTTTTTTGTTTTTTTAATAAAAATTCACGAAAGACCAAGCTAACTTCCATATCAAAAATAAATACTGTGTTAGTCTGTGGTTTACACGTCTAGACAGTGTTCCTAGTCAGATTTTTTTTTCTTCCAAAATCTTGGATGAAAATAAGCGAAAATAAGTCTGTAAGCATTGTCTAGATTTTTGCTGTTTCCTTCCTCATCGCACCACCGTACAGAAATCTTCCTGCCGCTCAACTTTTCACTTCAGCTTCACCTTCCTGCAACATCTCTGGAGAGCTGCGGGCTGTCAGCATCAAGACCAAAAGGCTGACTTTACACTCAACCACAAGTCGCTACACACACACACAGACACACACTCAAGGATGAAGATTTAGTTCAAACATAAAACCATACAGACTCATCTGAAAGAATACCGCGTTGTTAAGAACCAGAAGGTGACTGAGAGGACAGGCCAAAAAAAAACAACAAAACAAAAAACAAAACAAAAAACAGATCATACATACAAAGATGCACAAAGGGACGATAAGAGCCAAAGGAACAAAACACTAAAGAAGCTATACTTTCATCCAGCAGAGAGGTGCACAGCGACAAGAACAGACACATGACACCACGCACTGAAAGAGCCATGCAGAGACAAAGGGGCCGTAGGTGAGCGAGGGTTCACGTCCGCACAAACAGGCGCACACCTGTTTACGCTCCACACCCACACAGAGACGCACCTGGAGAGTCCAGTAAACACAAACATCTTTGATACCTTTGACGGTGCTGATGACCCGCTCCAGGTGTTTGCTGTCGTTGCGGTCTGGCCTGCAGCTCGGACTGATCTCCAGCGAGTAGTCTGGTCCGTACTCTGTAAAAAACTGCAGACATGTGTGCATTCACAGATCAACGTCGCAAGCTTTGGTGTTTTTCAAATACCGTCTGTCCCTTTATGCTGTTGTCTCATCAAGATTCAGGGTGATATCAATTCGATCGAGCTGGCTTTCTTTTCAACATCTCTGATTTGTGTGTGTTTCTTGGCATATTATGCATGTTACAGTAAGCAAGCCCTGGTTTAAGTTTCACATGATCAGAAACTTAACATTCGGTATTAAATTTAAATAATAAAACATAGGCACCTCAATAAAAACAACAAAAAAGAACCTTTCATGAGTAAATTCAAAGAGTGTTATCTCCTGTGTTTTGTTTGTTGCAGTTTTCACTGAAAGATTTCTTTTGCCCTGCTATAAATGATTTACAAAGTACTTTTTGAATGTATGCAGACCCATAGCAACAAGCTCACTTCTGGGTTAAAGGCAGAAGTGTTTGTCCTAAAACCCCGATTAAGTGTGTATCTTGTTTGACCAAAAAAATATCCAGTCAGCTTCCATGAAGGTTTCATTTCGTGTTCTTTGTTAAAATTTGATCGTTTCTACCTTGAGGTTTGCACATTTTGTTTTTTACAAATTTGAATCTCAAAATATGCTGAGGAATGTCTTCATTTTGTCACATACAGACCACACTGCGTTACTTTTCAGACTCTGGGGCAGCCCTGCTGGGAAAACCCCAACCACGTAGAACTGGTAGCTCAACTATAACGGAAAACTGTGTAGAGTCAAGTTGTGTAAAGTAGGTAGTAGTGGAAAAGGGTCAGGAGGGTAAAAAAAAGCCAAACACTGGTCGACTGATGCTGAAAATCTGGAAATCCACAACTGTAAATGCAAAAAGAGGGGACGGATCCCAGTTTTCCTATCTTTCCTATCTTTATAGGCATACTAATTGGTTTCCACCAACAATGATTGCTTTCTGCCAACCTGTGCACTGCACATGTGTAGATATTCAAAATCAGAGCAAAATCTTTCAATGGACATCTAGTTTTAAAAAGATACATTAGCTTTGACGGTATGGGATAAAGAGAATAAACTCGTTATGCAATGCAAATTCATGCAACATGTTTAGGTAGCTGTAAATTAAAGAACATGTTGTTACCAAAGTCTGGATGTCTGGAGAAGGGATTAACATTCTCATTGTTAGAGGAATGATAACTTATAAGAAGGCTACATGTTACTTCCATTTTCTGAACTCATTTTCTTGAAAGGGAATTTTACTCGCTCAGGCAAACATTTAAAACAGTCTCGTCTGCCTCACAAACAGAAAGAAAATGCAACCCAGAACACAAAGGAGGAACCACAAATCAATCAAACCTCCACCATAACGGTCGGAGCTTCGCAAATGAGAACAAAAAGGCTCAGAGATTGTTTCAGCAAATGCCAAAGTCTCCCTGGCATTTCGTGTCGAGTCAGACCACAGCCAAGAGAAAAAACTGAAACAGGTGGAAATCTAGAGACTTTGTTTAATCATAAGTTGATCCAAGCCTTGTCAGATTGGGGGGGAGGGGAGAAGAGAGGCAAAGAAAGTATTTTCGGTGATTGGCTTGGGCCATGAGTCAGTGGCGTGAGAGCAAAACAAACTCTGAGGCCATGACTGACCACAAGTGCGTCAGTCCGTGTGCAGAGCCTGTTGTGAAAACCTTGGAACTGAAAACTGACCAGAACATACCAAGAGAGCCAAGGTGACTGAAATCTAACGAGGAACGAGTTGAACTCAGCCACATTCACAAGAGGCAAACAAAGGTACAAAACAATCCAATCCTCAGTATGTGAAACCAAAAGGTGACCTCCAGAAAAGACAAGCACAAAAGATTCCTGACTGCTAAATCCAAACATATGGGGTTTTTTCTAGGTAATGTGTTGTTCCAATTTTTAGTACAGTCAGTAGATCTCATTAGAAAAGAGCTTTGAAGATCTGTTGGCAACAAACATTGATTTACACAGCAGAAGTCAGCTAACATGCAGCACGAGTACATTTCTGCTTATTTGGACACAAAGACCACACTGTCTTTGTTTAATACTGGGTCAGAGGGAAGGCGAGTCAATGCATGTGAAGGCATCAGTTTGTGTATTTACAGGGTGTCCATGTCTCCTTAAAAAGTCTCAGAAAGTTTGAAAATGGAGCCCTTAAAATATCTGAAATTCAATCGAGAATTAGGAGTTAGCTTTAAGCAGTTTATTTTTCTCGTGGGACAGAGGCAAAATTTCTAGTCACATCTTCATTAGGTTATATGACTTAAGGCGCTTGAGGCTATTGCTAACTAGCTGCCTATAAGCTAGCTAGCTAGCTTTTTCGCATCTACAATGTTTGTCTTTGCCAAAGGCTAGACAAACATTGTAGATGGGTTGGCAATAACCATCAGATGTTGCCAACCCATCTGATGGTTTGGCACTACTGCAACATGAAATATGCAGTTTTCCTTTGTACATTTCTGCTGTGATGCAGGTCTTAAATGTAATCCATAACGTTCTTAAAAAAGGTCTTAAATTTGAATTGGCGAAACAGCAGAAACCTGGATTTACGTGCGATTCATCCACTAATACATGTACTTTGAGCAACTCAAGACGCATTTTAAAGGTACAAAACAGGTTTTGAACCCTTTTATGATTAGAAATGTTTGGAGTCCATTTTAATAATTTGCTTTCAACCACACTCAATGCATTTTTTAAACCCAATAGTGTCCAAGCTGGAGGTAGTCTTGCTTCTTCATTATCTCCACCACCAGTTTCTGTTCTTTGATTGTAAAACATTTCTCCAGAAGGGATTTGGCTTGTCCATGAGGTATTGCTGCAAATTGTGTCGATTCTGAAGCTGGAACATCTTTCTCGGTAAGGAGCCCCTCGGTTACTGCGATGTAAAATGAGCTTCGCCATGTGTAATAACACTTAAGTACCAGCAGTTTCCAGCTTGTGGTAAGCCTTAACCTTGGAGCTCAAAGAAACATCCTCTCCAAATACCTCTCATCAGAGGGTGATAATTTGGGTCAGATAGTTGAAACTCATTCTTCCAACTGGAGAATGATATCAAATACACATCCAAACCTGTTTTGAACTTAGTGCATCAGGCCAACATTGAGCTTCTGGAACTGCCCCGTCCTCAACCCTCAAAATTTAAGAACGGTGCCAGACCATTCCACAGAAAAACCAACAGATACTGCGAAAACGAGTGGTGAGAGATCCTGCCAGATGTATACATGAAACTTGTTGACAGCTACAAACTGTATGCTTTATACTTAACCAAATATTAGCTTAGCTGTAGAAATGCCCTTGAGCTTTTTATACATTTCTTACAGGGTTTAGTATGAAGTTGATTTTTGTACAAATCATTCTAGGCAGAAAAAGAACAGTTCATCCCCAATATGACATCAAAGTCAAGGTGAAAGTATGCAAATTTCATGTACGGCTCCAAGTTCATGAATCTGCTTCCAGTTTGTTTGTTTTCATGAATCCTAGTGTCTTACCACCAGTTTTCAATGTGAGTGTAGTTAACACACACAGAGACCCGTCCAAATTATTCCCATGAACTCAGTGCTCCATCTCCTGCAGTCCAACAACACACACACTCACACTCAGTCTCCTGCTGGCAGCCTGTTTGCATTGGATGACCAAGGAAGAGACGGAAAGGAGACGAGGGGGAGACAGGTCCACACCCTGCGAATCCATCTCCAGATCGTACGGAGCACGGTTGAAAAAGACAAAATGTGAGCGAACATGTGAGAATGAGGGAACAATAGGGGAACAGATAAACTCCGGTGCTTGTTCCAGTGACGCAGCACATCAACGTAACTGGACAAGGTCAGCAGACAGAAAATACCCACCGACTGGCTCCTGTGTCCTGAGCAGAGACACTCTGGGAGATGAATAGGGGAAAAGCTGTTTTTCTTTTGCCATGGTCCCAAACACAGACCCTCCACTTCTACTCCATTACTCACTGGTTGTACAAACTTCTCAAGAGAAACACTAATTACAGAAAAAATGCTGTGATCAAAGGGAAGACTAAACTCCACTTTAATGTAATGTAAAGCTAATTATTAATGTGACATAATGGACATCAAACTTTGTTAAACCAAACTCACATCCTGTCATTTTATCCATGAAACCTATGCTGCATCTCAGCCATTTTCTTCCAGGGTGAAGTGATTTTAATAAAAAATAATTAAGTGGATGCACTTGAGGCATCAACACTGTTTGGAATATTTCTGAGACGGATATTTGACCACTCTTCTTGGCAAAACTGGAAAATTTCAATGAAGTTGTTAGTTCCCTGGCACAGAAATGGTTTTTCAACATAATGTAAAAATGTTAGCCAGCTTCATCTGTTCCAAAACCAGTCTTTATTTGTAGTTTGTGACTTTCCTCTCACAGAACACCTCATTGTGTCAAATTATGAGAAATCATTTGCCCCCAGACGAGCATGAAAGACAACCTGACATAGTTTCTCTACTTCTTTTATCAACTCTGCTTCAGAGCATGATTTCATTTGTCTTAGTTTGCTTCCCAAAAATGTCCAGAATTTGAAAAGTGCAAGCCGTAAAACTCTAGACAAAACGCAACGTCCGTGGCCATCCATTCTTGTCAGGTGCAGACACATTGATTCACGCGTGAATGGAGTTTATACACGAGTAATCCAAACACGCCTCAGAGAAAGTCGGAGTATGTGTTTTTTGAGCAAGGGCCCATCTGTGGACAGCAGTGCTGCGTCTGCGGGTGTTTGTTTTTACAGCGATCAGCAGGATCCCCTGCTATGAAGGACGCCGAGCCGCGCAGCAGAGAGGAAAAATGTCTCAGGAAAACAAATGGGCTGCATCTGCTATCATGCTCCTATCTAATAAATGTTTTTAGGAAGGAAAAAAAACAGTCCGATACTCAAATCGTGGTCACATAATGCACGTAGGCTTCACATCTGGACTGGTCCTCCCTGCCATTTCATCGCTTCGTCCTCTTTACACTCATCTGACAGTTCTCCTTTAAAGGCCCTGTAGTCAACAGAT